TCCCAAGTGGGCCGCAAGAGGGCCCCAATTGGAATCACCCAGCAGAGGCCTTCCGGGTGATCCTAATTAGCTCTGTCTTGGCGCCCTCTTGTGGCGCTCTCCTGGGGCCCTCTTAGAAGCCCCTTGGAGCCCTCTTGGAGGCGTCTTCAGGCCATCTTGCGCCGTCTTGGGCAGTAGTAGCAGTAGTAGTAGAGGCCTCTGTGAAACGTCCCGGGACCTCTGTGGATCAGGTCAGCACAAGTCAGCGCAAGTCAGCGCAGGTCAGCGCAGGTCCTCACATAACGACGCAGGACGGCACGGGTCTCGGACAGGGAGAACAGGGCACAATCTGAGCTGCGCTGACCTGCGCTGACCTGCGCTGACCTGCGCTGACTGGCCTGACCTGCGCTGACCTGCGCTGACCTGCGCTGACCTGCGCTGACTGGCCTGACCTGCGCTGACCCCGTTGACCTGCGCTGACCTGCGCTGACCCACGCTGACCTGTACTGTCCTGCGCTGACCAGCGCTTCTGAGGAGCGCGTGACCTGCGCTGACCTGCGCTGATCTGCGCGGATCCGCGCTGACCTGCGCTGACCTGCGCTGACCCCGGGTTGAATGCGAACACCCTGGATACTTTGGGGCCTTTCCGAGGCCCCCTGAAGCCCCGAGGGGTCCCCAAGGGGGCTCCAAGAGGGTTCTCGGAGGAGCCCGGTGGCGTATATAACTCGAGACGTTCGTTATATACCTCCCTGGGGCTCTCTTGGGCCCCCATTGGGCTTGTCTCGGTGCCCTCCCAGTGACCTTTCGAGGGCGCTCGGCCCGAGGCCCCAAGGGGCCCCCACGAGGATTCCGACAGGGCTCCAGGGGTTTTATTGGATGTATAAGACAAGGCGTTGGCTCGAGTGCAGCTGGGCGCACTCGGCAGTCACTCATTGCCCCATCCGACGCTCCGAGGCTGAGTCTGACTCCAAGGCGCACATCCTGCCATGGAGGTCGAGTTCGACGGGTCTCAGCTGGGTGCGGACCTTGAGGAGGCTTTGGCGGCATCGGACATCGAAGGGATTGCCAAACCAAAGGAAAAAGGTTCGGGGCGCGGTCGTGGCCGACGCGCTGCGAGCAGCGGTGGCCGTGGTAGTGGTAGTCGACAGGGCACATCGAACAAGAAGCGGAGCCAGGTTTTGGAGCAGAGATGCGCTGGCTGCTTCCAACTGCACCCGTTGTCAGAGTTCTTTGGCGACACAGGGATGTGTGCGCCTTTCAAGCGAGCATGGGATGCAGTCTATCGGATGGCCAAGCGACAGGGCTCCGTCGAGTGGCTCCAGAACTATTGCAAGGGCCCGGCGAACAAAAAACGGATCTTGACCCTGTACCTGAAGACCAAGGGCATCGACGGCAAGGGCAGGAACCCAGCTGTTACACCATTCAGTTTTGCAGCCGTCAAGGAGGAGTTGATCCAGGAGACGCGCGTGAAGCGCTCAGCTCACGGCAAGATGATGTACAGGGGCGAGTACGTGGACTTCGCGAAGACCCGTGCAGGCGGCGGCCTGAGCGATTCCGAGGCCGAGTTGCAGTGGTCTCAGTGGGAGGCGGACCCCAATTTCCTGCTGAGGGACGAGGGCGGGCCGAAACGGTCTCCGGTGCGATAGTGGGTTAAGCTGGGCGATTTCATCGATTTCGACGACATCGAGTCACACCTGAAACGATTGGAGTGCACGTCCGAGGGCGTCAAGAAGCCGAAGACTGAGGATCTGGCACGCATGCGGGAAAAGGGGACGTCGGGAACAGAAAACATTTGTGGCAGGAGCGCTGGCTCATCTGTGCTGTCTGCGGCGGCCCAGCTCCTGAGCCGTAGCGGCGATTCAAAGAATGCGTTGGGCTTGGCCTCGGGCTTCGACGACGACGGCGTCCCCGGCATGAACTTACGTCAGGCCGTTGACGACCTACAGGAGGACGAAGAGGCGGAGATTGAAGTCGAGGACGCCGAAGATGGAAAAGAGGAAGACGCTGCAGCAATCGACGCTGCAGAAACGGCCTCCGTTGCTCCCAGCGCTGCTGGCATCAGGACCGCAGGCAGGGCTTCGCTGGCGGCGCCAGGCGAGGAACCAGCCCAGAAGAAATCCAAGACTGACGTTTGGTTCGAGCCTGCCCGGGAGCGCATCAAGTACAAGAACGACTACTTAAAGCAGGTGAAGAAGTTGAAGACGACGATCGCAGCTTCCAGAACCAACGGGGAGAAGGAGATCATGAGGTTGGCGGCGCGTTGCGAGCCTGAGCATGAAGATCAAGCGCTGCTTCGGCCTCTCCGCGAGTTGGTCAATACTAAGTTGGACTGGATCAAGCTGGTGCTCGGCATCGGGGCCCCGAGCGCGCTGGCGCAGAAGGTGGACGAGGTCAAGGCTGGCACTTGGGAGATCGGCGAATCCAGCCGCCAGTTCGAGCCACCGTGCCGCAACTACGAGAAGCTGACGACCCTGGACGACTTCGAGGCCAAGGCAAAGGGCTTCGATACTCTAGAGACCCGGAAGGCCATGGAGGCGCTCGAGCTGGAACTCAAGGATCAGCAGGCCGCAATCGTGGAGTTGGTTAACATGACTAATCGGGCGATCACTGACTTCAGCAGGACGGCTACCGAGTGCGAGAAGTTGCGAGAGCAGCGGCACGGCAAGGGCAAGCCCAAGGCCAAGGCCGCTCCATCACCAGGGACGGCTGCTGCCCAGATGGGCGTCGCTGGGGTCCTTGGCCACGTCGGCGACGCGGATGCCGCTGGAGACATACCGACGTTCCAAAAGTTCGAGCAGGGCGAATTCAACCCCCGCATGCCGTGCCTCTTCACCAACTTTACTTCCGCTAAGGCTTGGGTTCGCAGCGGGCACGCCGTCCGCAATAATTTGGAGACCTTCCGTTGCAACTTTGAGGAAGTTCGCAAGACAAAGCGGGCGAAGCGGGCCCAGGACCGATTGGCGTCGGCGCACGTGGGCGAGAAGGCATCGGCAGAGATCCTGGCGCCCTTCCAGGGGGCCTTCGCTGATTCCCGAGACGTCGAGGGCATTGGCAGTGCTGCCGCCGCGCTGGGCAAGGAGATGTGTGTCTGGTCGTACATCGTCGTGCAAGGCTCGGACAATGTCTCTTGCGAGAAGTACGCGTTCGGCACCCTTCGCCTCGCTTTGGAGGGGACTCGTTCTATCGCGTGCGTCTCCTACGCCGCGGTGGCCGCCTTTGCGAAGGCCAAGGGCATCGATGATACGTCGAAGGCTGTCTACAGCGCCTTCGGTGACATGACGCCGGAGGGTCTGTCCGAGTTCTCCGACTGGCTGAGGAGCAACGACGTGCAAGGCGTGGACAAAGGTGGCAGCTAGAGAAAACAAGCCATCCGCATGCCCATACTTAGAACTCCGAACCTCCAGCCTCCAGCGCGTGCTGTTCGAACGTTGCGCATGCCATTATCACCGCAGCAATTGCGCTACGATTGTAATACTATTGTAGTTGTTCTCGTAGCAATAACCGATGTGTACAACGAAGTGGCAGCATACGGAGGTGCAGCAATCGCACGTCCACAGACGGTGATACTTGACAGAATCAGTAGTTAGCATCGCACTACGAGTATTGTACGAGAGAACGCAGCTATACCTATACCAGTACCACATACTCTTGACGCTTCGCGCGTCCCCACCAGCCGACCCAGTTAATATGCATCGGGTTGGGAGGGACTTCGATTCCCAGTCTGGCCGCTGTTGTCTGCGTCGATGCGCAGGGGGTGACAACCAGCACCAGCGGGCGCTTAACGCATCCCCCCCCCTCCGCCCGGCCGACGGATTAACAAAATGGAGTCCCCCCCTGGGAGGGGGGGTTGAAAAATTACGCGTTGACTGACGGGCTAGAGTGCCCGGCGGCTCGCGCTGGATCTTTTCTTGGGGTGCGTTTTGGGGGATGCCAGCCCGTCGGGTTTGGCCGCCGGGTCTCGGCGGAATCTGGCGGTTGCGTTGATGGGGGCGATGGCAGACGCGCCCAGCCCGAAAGAAGGGGGGGGGGAATTGGCGGGCCGCTTAGGGGCTTAGGGGCCTCTGGGTCTCCCCTGCTGGACCTTTTCGCGGCTCTCTCGCGGCTCGTCGGGGCGCCGAGACAGCCCCAAGAGGCCGCAATGCGCCCCTAGGGGTGTGACAGCCCCAAGCCCCAAGGCCCAAGAGGGCTCAGTGCGCCTTCGGTGTGTCCAAGGAAGGCCCGACAGGGCTCCAAGGTGGCCGAAAACGATGCAAATTTAACGCGAGCCGCAGCCTTGTCGGAAACAGGGCTAAGTTGAATTTCTAGTTTTCTGACGCGTCCTTTTGGGCGCCTCGCGGCTTAGCTCGCGACGAAGTTTCACGAGTTAGTTTTTTTACGGGCGATTACCTCCCCACTCCTCCGATCTAGTTGTTTGTCATCCAGGCCCGTCTTGGGGCTCTCGAGGCTCTCTTGGGGTTTTCTAGGGCCATCATTTGGGCTCTCTAGGGCCATCCTGAAACTACGTAGGCCCCGGAGCGAGGAAGACCACCTTCGCCCAGAGGGCTGGTGGGATTAATTATGCGAAGGGCCATTGCTATGTAACGTTGGGGGGCGCGGGCGCACGTTTGCACGTGCGCCAGGTGAGCATCCCGTCATCTGGCACGGGACGCAGGGGCCAGCTGACATCTTGTACACGCCCCCGGGCATGATAGTCGCAGAGAGGGTCCAGAACAACGTCGACATGTTGGGCTTGAAAATTGTCGTTGTCCCGCGGGACCTGGGCTCGGGTGCGTTCGTCGGTTTTCCGCAAGATGCGGCCGCTGGTGGCGGCGTTGGCCCTGCGATGCGCGCGGCCCTCGACATGGTGGATACGCGTTCTACAGAGGTCAAGGGGGGCGACGGCCCCGCAGGCAGCGCACTGGCGGACGGCAGCAACAGTGGGACGAAGCAGAATGAGGATGCTCTGGCAGGGGCCCCACCGATCGACAAGAATGGGGGGCACGCCAGCCTGGACGTCGAGGCTGAGGCAGCGGCACCGCCAGGCCATGTGGAGAAACCGTACATTTAGGCTAGGCAGTGAGGACGCAGCGGGGTCAGGCCGTTCTCCTAAGCAACAGGGGTTGTAGTGAAGTAGTTTGGCCGAGACTGGCCGCCAGTCTTGTGCGGGGTGCGGGCGCAAGCTTGTATTCCATATTCCACAGACGCAGCACTCGCTGTTATCGGTATCGTGACTCAGCATACGAGGCAACAAGCATTCATCACAACTGCTGCCTCTGCCAGTGCTGTCCCCGTCGTCACCCGCCGATGGCGTGCGGCGTATGCTTCCGCGCGAGTCGACGTGCATGTGCGTCCGCATGAAGGGTTTTACAATGATTGACGCTTCGAGTATTCCAACCAGCCCATCCACAGAAGATGTCTCGGCGAGTTGCCTTGGCCAGGGAAGTGCAGCAGCACGCAGTGAATGTGTAGCAGCATGCACGTTTCGGCAACGAGGGCCTTCAGAAGGGCTCAAGATGGCCCCCCGGGGCTCCAAGAGGGCCCCAAGAGGGGCCCAACAGGGCCCCGAGAGGGCCCGGCCGGCCCTTTTGGAGGGCCCAAAATGGCCATAATGAGGGCAGCTTGGTGACCCCCCCCCTACGTCTTGCACCGAAGGTTTTTGAAGTCTTGTGGCCTAATATAGCACCCTAGTGAGCCCCCCTTGGCGCCCAAGACATTTTCAAATCCGAGAAAAACGCGGCTCGCGGGGCTCTCTGGGAGGTCCAAGGGCCCTGGGAGGTACCTCCAGGAGCGCCCCAAGAGCGACCCGGGGGTGGTCGCCGAAAGGGGGCAGCATGGTGATCACCCCCCGCCTTGCATCGGAAAGTGTTTGACGCTTTGGGGTTCCAACTCCCTCTCGGGCCCGCCCCGGCGCCCAAAACAACCTCAAATCCGAGAAAATCGCGGCCCTCGGGGCCCCAAGAGAGCCCTGAAGGGCTTGGGGGGCGCTTCCAGGAACGCCCCAGGAGCGACCCAGGGGTGCCCACCATTAGGGGGCAGAATGGTGACCACCCACCGTCTTGCACTGGATGGTTTTTGACGTCTTCGGTATCCAGCTGAGCACCCTCTTGGCCCCCCTTGGCGCCCAAGACAGCTTCAAATCCGAGAAAAAACGCGGCTCAGGGAAGGGCAGATGGCGGGGGGGCGACGGGGGGAGAGGGGGGGATGAGGGAGGAACAGCATCTTGCGACCAGAACGTGTTTTTTTGTTCAGTGAGGTCGATCCCGTTAGATTAGGGACGACGCGGGACGGGATTGGATCACTTCGAGCATGCAACTTTTCGACGGTTGCCTTTGTCTGGTGCGTGGCAAGAGACAGAAAACCAACAGCGCTGACATTCGGCATGGGTGAGGTACGCAGCAGCAGCAGCTGGCTGCATTACAGGCAATCTCAAGCACGGGCCGCTGGCCAACGAATTGCTTGGAGCTCCTAGAGCGAAGGGGTGCGTGAGGGCGGCGGAGTTTCGACGGCGGTTGGCGTTTCTAATATTTCTTGACGCTCCGCGTATCCCCGCCAACCCGTCCAGCACCAATGCCCCGACGAGTTGCCCAAACAGTGGAAATGGGGGTGTCTTGAAGCCTCTTGCAGAAGATTGAAAACCAGCGTGAGCCAACTCAACCTGTTTGAGCCATGTTGAAGGTCATCTTGGGCTCTCTGAGGCCCTCGCGGAGCCATCTAGGGCCATTCTGGACGCTCAAATTTGCCCCCCCCCCGTCCACGCCCAGGGGCACGCGGGTGAGAAAAGGGGTATATGGGAGATTGTACATTCTAGGCCACCGGCGCCCTGAGGGCACGTGGGATTGCCATCCCGGGGGTACTGGCGGCTGAGTTGCCGCGGCATCTGGCGGGGCTTCAGCAGCCCACGAGGGGGAGACAATACGTGAAGCAGAATGCAAAACAGCCTATATCCGACACAGCCGAAGTTGTTGAAACTCCTGTGGATATCGTGACGCCCGTGGGGCTCTCGTTGCCATTTTGGCTCAAATGCCGCGGATTTCGATCCCTCATTCCGCTCCCGCCTCAGAGCGGGAAATGATGTGGCTGGTCGTCTACAGGCGCTCTCGCCACGTACTAGGCAGGGGTAGGCCCTGGACTCCGGACTTGTGGTGCTGTTGGTGCCGAGCCTTTCTTTTAAGATATATCGGATACGCGCGCCAGCCAAAGGCGCGGTGCCGGTGCTGATGTCCACGGGGAGGTGTGACCCAGGCGCCGCCGGGGCATTGGTCGCCCGTGCCCCGCGCGGCGCCAGAAGCTGCCTTACCGGCGACGCTGGCGTGCGAGGCGCACCAGTCCCAGTGAGGTGGCATCGGGTCGCCTGGTCAGGGGTGCACCCCGCAGTGCTGGCGGCGCTTTAGGTGTTCCCGTTTCCTCTCCACCACCCCAGCTGGTGGTAAGCGGCGCCGTGCCCTCACTTCGTGCGCCTGCGCTGCAGTTCTAGTCTGGGGCCTTTGCGCGTGCGCATCCTCTCCCTCCCCAATGGTCGGTTGGTGTTTTTGGTAACATGTGTGGGACCACCATTGGGCCAATTTACGGTGCAATTCTTTTGGGCTGGTTGATTGCGCGCGAGGTTTGCGCGCAATGCCCCGCTAGCGAACGGCATGCCGGAGATTTTGCCGCGTTCTTGGCGCGACGGTGCTCTGTTGAGTCGCATGCCCGGTGACGCTCCCGATCGGCGTGGCTGCGACGCAGCAGCCCCGTCGCTTTGCGTCGAAACATACCAAGTGTCATACGCTGTCTATGCTTCTGGATATGCGCTACCGTCTCTGGTTTGCTATACTGGAACAGGTGGCTGATACCGCTGCAGACAGCGGTTTGCGCGCGTTTTCATGTGACGTTCCCTGTTGGCCCTGTTGGTGTTGTGCTGTGCGTTTTCCCAAGGAAACCAAGCATTTGAAAAATTTCCACAGCCCCCGACGATTCAGACGTCGACGCAGATCGGGGGCCACAACCGCCGCAACCGGAAAGACCTGAGTTGCAGCCAGTGGCAGAAAGCAGGGATGAGCCTGGTTTCGCACGCACAGCACCTCAGAGTGATGCACGACAAGTGCGACCTCGATTGGGCGCCGCATCTTCTGCTGAACCGAAGTGCGAGCCTGGATCCCGACAGCCGTTCGCGGCGAATGCGCCGTTGGGAACCCCCAGCGCAGCCGCGCGAGACTCAGGCACGCCCTGGCCCGCTAATGCGGCTTCCTACTTACCGCCGCCAGCGTCAACTACGATTGCGCCTTCTACGTTTCGATCTGCGGACTCTGCAGATGACCTGGCCACTAATTACGTGGACAGCTATCAGAATGTTCGGGTAACCAGAATGTTCAGGTAACATATGATTTGTTGGGAGCGCACAAGACCCCCGACCTGGACAGCATTCACGCGGCCGGTCAGTCAGAAGCGGCCCACCTCAACGCCGAGAGAGAGGAGAAGCGCGCCGAGGGCCGATGATCAAATCCACATCCATCCTATACTTGATCATTATGAACAGGAGCTCCTTGGATCGAATGGCAGTCGTCACAAAGAATCGTCTGAGATATGCGCAGCAGGATTTGACGGCACCAAAGCAGCGCGCATTCACCGTGGAGCTGCTGCTGCAGAAATCTACAGCAAAAACCTTGAACGTACTGTTTCTTCTCTTTGGCGCGACACGTGGAAAGATAGGGAGCCGACTACGACGGCGAGTTTCCGGATTCTGCTGCCCCCAAGAACTCCGACGCTAAATCGGGATGGATTCAGGGGTCTCTCGTCCGCGACGACGCTGTCTCGAATCGCCTTGTGCCCACGCCCTCTACAGCGGATGCACTTCCTGTTCTCCAACGCCTGCCCGCCATCAAGGCTAGGGCCTGGGTTGGCGACGCCGAGTCCGCCTTTGCTGATGGACTCCGAAGTCAGCGGGAAGAATGTCCTTTTGCCTCTCCCTCTGCGGGGGGCATTATTGGCGAGGGTCCCAACGAGTTGCTCGCGGTTGAATTGCTGGAATCGTGCGTCGATTAGTCACCAGTCTTCCGGGTTGGCGCAGATGTCTTCTGCCGGCGTTCAAGGAGCATGTTTTGCCCGCCGTCCCCCAGCGCCCTGCGCCACGCGCGCGCGAAACTCTCGGCGGGCGCCCCGAGCAATTTTCCGGATTCGTTGTCGCCGAAACAGATGATTTGTTGGGAGGCGGTATTGGAGATAGACTTGTCGAAGCCATTTCTCGCCTTCGCATGCGTTTCAAATTTGGACAGTCGATCGATTTCATGGAGGATGCTATTGTGCATGGCAGGCGCGGCCTGCGACAACACACAAATCTGCATTGCGATCTCTACTGCGCGGCTTCTTGCAGAACGAGCTCTACTTCGTAGTCTGCCACGGGGGCGCTGCAATAATTTTTAACTGGCGGCCACGCCAGATGATAGTTCAGCTATGCGCGGGTCGCGTGGGGAACTCGACTGGACGCGCCGAGATGGCATGCCCAACAGTTCGGGGGGCGCATCTCTCCTGAGCAGCATTCTGCCCAACCCCGCGGTGAGAGATTTCATCGAGGCCAATGCCGCATTGCGACGCCCCAAAGACGCCAATGCCGCGATCACCATCAAGTCTATGCCCTTGCTCGCACCCGTCTGGTCGCACTGTGCGATCCTGGATTGGATCTCAGGGGCGCGGTGCAAGGGCGCTCTCGGACAGGCGGCGCGATCTGTGCAGCAGATCAAGGCTCTCTCTCTGTTGGGAAAGGAAACCGATGTCAGCATCCTTCCGTGGCATTCCCGTAAGACTGCGCGCGCTGGCTTCTCTGTCCCGGCGGCGCAGGCCAGCGCAGTGTCCGAGGGTTTGGCCGGGCAGAGCGGGTTATTTCGTGGTTCTTGCGTCGTGGAGGATGACCGATGCGAGCCCCGAGATCGACATGCCGCGTTCCGAGAAATCCGAGTCACGCCGATCATGGAGCAGAGCCCCGACCTGGACATCATCATCATGACCGATGCAAAATCTCTGTGCGATCGTATCATTCGGGATCAGTTCGCTTCCACCGAAAAGCGGG